AGGAGGAAGTCAAGTAATGAAGTGCCTCTATCAGAGACGTTCTCGTGGCCATCGGAATGGCTTTTCGAAATTCTGCACCTCACATACCACAGGGAGCGATCATACGAGAATTTTAGGTACCGGCTGTGCGCAGCGGCAGTATCGTCCATTGCAGGTGCAGGATACTCTGACGGAAAACAGACAAGGATGGAGGGAGAAGATCGTCTGTCTGACGCCGTGCTGCTCCTGGAGGCCGGGATACGCTTTCTTCGATCTGGGGACTACCGTATCAAAAGGGAGGTCCAAAAGTTCCTGGCCAGTGGTGTTGTTAAGGCCGCCAGAGAAAGTCTTGAGCGACGGAAAATCCGGTCCCAAAGGCTGGGTCCAGAGATCATCGGTAAGAGTCTGGGGCGACTTCCGTTCGTCACGAGCACGGGTCATTTGGTTCTGAGCTCCGAGCATGTGAGAAAAGGCGACGTCGTCGCACTCATCAAGGGTGCTCAGGTGCCTTTTATTCTTCGTCGTGAAGAAAACAGTGCGTATAAGCTGATCAGTGAAGCTTATGTGCATGGCATCATGGACGGAGAGGCGGCAGAGGAGGACAAGTTTGGAACTGTAGAGCTTGTGTGATGAATTTGGCAGGCAGCATCCTTTCTCTGTATTACGGGAGATCTCGGAAGAAGCTTTCGAGAAGAAGATCGTGTAAACAAATCGACCAGCATCAACCTGAAATTCGCGACTTCTTCTCTGGGTACATGCAGTATTTGTATTATGTGGTCAAGGACGTACCTGATGTTGGTCACTACATGTCCTTGGCGCCTTGGCAGGCTTAACATACACAAACCAGCCTCAGACCTGGCCAGCACTACCACCACCAGGCAGTACCTCAAGAAGATATGAATATCCTTGCATGGAAGAAAGGAAGAAGGGATGAATTAAAAAAAAAAAACCAGCTACTAAATGTAGGCAGGCAGGAAAATCCACAAAAAGAAATGCCTCCATTGAGAGTCGAACTCAAGACCTCGACATTCCAGTAGGTAAAGGAGCTACTAGTGTCGCGCTCTACCGCTGAGCTATGAAGGCCGCAGAGAACTCGCTGATGCGCGTCTCACGGCACTTCTTGGAGGGATTTGGGGACATATATAATATATACCTTTGATTTTAGAGTGGCCTTGATGGTGGGCTTGCGATTACGTGTACGAGATACCTAAGACTGACCAACTGTCTCGGCGGTTTCTCCCGCTCCACAACCAGCTGACCTAATACAGGGCGAGGGTAATAATACTTTCTGGCTCTCAGCTCTGGCACTACTCGGTACTGGTTCTATGATTGGATACCTCGTTTATGTATAGCATCCTTCTGGATTCATAATAAGCTCGCCGAATCTCAAGGGCAGTTCCCGCCTGTAAGAGTGCCCGCTGTCGCTAAGGAACATGACAAGTACCCATTGGTTCCCGAAAATTTCACAAAGTTACGAGTTACAAAAGAAGAGCCGAGACGTGGAGAGATGTTGTAAGATACCACGGTGAACAGTATCCCTCAACCATTCTACTGAGAGATTCTCGATATAAGCTATGTGCCTTGTACTGCATATCAGAGGCTTCAACCAAGAGGAGCTGCTGGGTATAAGTAGTAGTACTAGTATTTGTGTTAACACACGCCCTCTTGGGAAAGAGGTGAATATATTCCAAAGTGTTTCGTTTTAGAATGAGGACCAGCCCAGTCTCTCTGCTTCCGTATTAGCAATGCATGAAATACTAGTAAGGGCGACCCATACTTACGTCATTACGCCATAGCTACCTCGTCGTCCGCACCGTAATATGACGGAGCTGTGAGGTTCGTTCAACAGGAGAGACCTCCGGCAGGGTCTATGTAGCTCTTTCAAAACAACCTCTATTGTATGCCACGAACCCATGGGCGTGGCTTCCCTTGTGTCTCCTGCAATTGTGTCCAACTTTTCTTCCTCGTGCTCAGCCGGAATAAACCACGGATTCAGGGAGTGATCCTCCAGAGGATCAAAAGGGGAGTGCTTTGGTCATCCGACACAGTCCTGCGACTGAGGTAACACTGTTGAATCTCGCCCTTCGACAGGCACTGTGTTTGTGGCCAGGATCAGTATAAGAAGGCGAGCTTGTGGTGCATAGTCCTCGTTTTGTGTCCTTTGTGTTCAGCAAATATTTTACCATCGTGTCTACACCGTGCTTCATTGCTCAAGGAGGACTGTCTGGGTTCGCGGGAGATGCAGGAGGTGGTATTGGCTGAGCTCGCTTCTTCGGTTTGATCAACAGGAGGACAAACATGCCAATAACAAGAAGCAATAACAACAAGAGGATTTTGCGTTTGGTGTTGCGTCGCTGGTAATTGGTGGCAACGATGAGCTCCTTCTCCGCCCCTTTGACATCTGTAGCCATCCGTTCCACATTGTAGTCAATGCGGTCGAGCATGGTGCCCTGGTCGATGACCATTGCTTGTAAATCGCGGAAGATATCGGCCAGCTCAATGATACCTTTGGCGATGTCGTTGATTTCCTGTTCCCGTTGTGCGATGGCAGTATCGTTTCTATGCAGTCGTTTCTGTGCTGTTTGTTGTAGCGCCGACTGTCCTAGTCGCTTGTCGGCGTCAGACTCGAGTAAGGCCGGGTCGGAGTACGGGTTCTGAACGGGTATTGGAGTTGAAGAACGACCAACGGGTGATTCGAAGCCACCCAGTTGACGGAGTTTGTTGAGGTAAGTGCTTTGTTTCTTCCTGAACGTGGCGCTGACTTCCTGTACTCTGGATGCCAAAGCGACTTGGATATTCTTTGCCATGATCTCGTCCCCCTTTTGAAGGTTGCCTGTCTCCCTGGCCTCCTTGACCATACTCTCGATGCGCTTGATGGCTTTTTGACATTCTTGAAAGCCTCTCGTAATTTCCGTCGTCAACTGTTCTATTTCGCGTTCCTCCTGCAGCTTGACCGACTCGTCGTCGAACCCGGGAAGGACATGTTTGGAATGCAGCTTCTCCAACTTTGCAGCTTTGAGTGTGATGTCCTTGAGAATATCGCCGACCTCATCTTGAACATCAATCCAGCGGGGAGGAAGCAAGTCCATCTCTATGACTGCATCGCCGTCATTCTCGTAAGCCCCCGTGGACATGAGACCTCTGGTCTCCTCTGATGCCTGGTCGGCATAGCCGTTTATGGCGGATGGGAATCGCGGTTTCTTAGATGGGTGGTGGGAATATGACTGGCGATAGGAGATATAACTAGAAGAAGGTCAGACATGCTTGCCTTGCATCAGGAAATTTGGGCTATACAGATTCGTCCGATCTCTCCACATATTGAGATCTGATGGAATTGAACGGATCACATGTGACTGTCCTCCGTCTGATCTCGGGTTGCTCTGACTGGCATGCTGATCAGATACAATGGATTAGGAAGAAACAAGTAGTTCAGACAGTCGTCGGGATGCCAATAACATGGAAGCAGCAAGCATTGTCAAGAATTAAACTTGAGTTGCGCGACACAGGCAGCCCGTGCAAGCAACGAACAAGCGACACCTAGAACATCAGTGACGAAGGGGCTCGGAGAATCGATAATCCGAGGACCATGGAATCTCCCGCCAATCCTTCGTTTTTCAGCTGGCCCGAATTCCAGCGCCATAATCCAGTGGAGTTTGAGACTTTGCCCTTTCTACGGACAACTTTACTCGTAACCCTGCAGTTCAATTTACGCCGCCGCTTCAGCCGCCTTTGAATACGTCCTCCCTTTAGGAGACGCTACATAACTATACCAAACCCCTTTCCAACGTCGCGCACCACCATAACCTGCACTCAACTGCAACGGCGACCGTTGCGTGATTGATTTCGACCATGGTATGGCACCACATGGCAATCCTAACTGCGGCTGCAGTGGTGAAACATTCTCTATGGGCCTAGACTGACACCTGTTGACTGTAGGCGGACTCCTTGACCGAAGAACAGGTCTCTGAATTCAAAGAAGCTTTCTCTCTGTTTGTACGTTGATTGATCTCTTCATTACTGCCTTGGAAGCTGACGCATCGCTCTGTAGGACAAAGATGGCGACGGTACATATACCCCTTCCTACCCCGCCGATGTCGTCGCCAGGTCCGCAAACCTTGAAATCTAACATGACCTTGCTAGGCCAAATCACCACCAAAGAGCTGGGCACCGTGATGAGATCTCTCGGCCAGAATCCTTCAGAATCCGAACTTCAGGACATGATCAATGAGGTGGATGCAGACAACAATGGCACCATTGACTTCCCAGGTATGGTGGAGCAACTTACAATCAGTGGCATCCATGGACTCGGCTTACGAGTTTGTTTAGAATTCCTCACGATGATGGCCCGAAAGATGAAGGACACAGATTCCGAGGAGGAAATTCGAGAGGCGTTCAAGGTGTTTGATCGCGACAACAATGGCTTCATTTCTGCCGCTGAATTGCGTCATGTCATGACTTCCATTGGTGAAAAGCTCACGGATGATGAAGTGGATGAGATGATTCGAGAGGCTGATCAAGATGGGGATGGTCGCATTGACTGTAAGTCAAATTTGTCCTCCTTTCTCCCGCCTGTCCAATATATGTTGTTTCACGACTGATCACCTCAATACAGACAACGAATTCGTGCAACTGATGATGCAAAAATGAGCGAAATAACGACGAGAACCTGTCACCGGCACAGAGTCATGACGGGAGTGAGGACAAGGGCTTTTAGCAAGCGCGGGAGCCCTCGACAGGGTAGTGAGACGAGCTCCTAGAATGGCGATGGCACAGCGGAATTTTCCCGGTTCTACTTGATAGAGTCCAGTTCTGAACTGATGCGGGCGTCCTGGGCAAAAGAACGCCCATTGAAGTATTTGAGCGAGGTGCAATGAAACCAACTAAACAGTTTCCTGTGGCTCAACGCGCTGTCATAAACCCCACCCGTTATCCTGCCCTTTTCCTTATTGATTCTTGGGTATCGTTATTGCTCATTGCGAGCTGCCTATCGCCGCCAGACATCCTTGAACAAAAAAGAAGCCTCAGTGAGACCTGAGCCAGTTCAGCATTTGTTGGAAAGCTGCTTCTTGAGCTCTCTTGATTTCGGGCGAATCATAATCTCCATACACCGCAAATCCTGTGCCATAGTTAGTGATGAACCCCTTCGGCCCAGAGGAATGTTTCCTCGAATTGAAACTCACCGTGCGGGACCTCGGGATATGTCTTGATCTCATGGTCTATGCTGCTGGATGCAAGGTGTTTTCGACCAACATCTAGCACTTCGTCGGGAAATAGAGGGTCGTTCTCTGGTAAAATATTGTCAGCTGTGAATATCCGAACAGCACGAAGACATCAGCTCTAACTTACCGACACAAACCATCGTCAAAGGCGCCTTGATGGCCTTCAGATCCTCGCGCGTCACCAACGTCGCGTGCGCCACAGCACCAGCCTTGATGAGCGGCCCCTTTGCCATCATCCCTTCCTCTTCATCCTTGCCACTGGGCGGTTGTTGCGTAGGATTCTCGCCAGCTAGCATAACCACGTACTTCCCACCGAAGCAATATCCCACGCTATAGATGCCTTGTCCATGGGCGACAGCATCCGCGTATTCGTCCTTGCATGTCTCGATCACCTTGAGCAAGATGGGGAGCACCTTCTCTGGTGTTTGGCGGGCCAGCCACATGTCCACGAGGAATGATTTCGCCGTCTCGGCAGCACCAAGTTTTATGCGCTCGAGGAGGCTCGGACTTTGTGGTGGTTCTCCAGGGGAGGTGGGGGAAGTGGGCATCGTAGTCCTGTTGGAGCTCGGCGCCGGATCACCATTGAATTGGTCAGGCATGATCACGACGAAGCCCTCGGCGGCGAACATGTCTGCTTGGACCTGATTGTTTACGGAGTGCAACCCCGTACCAGAGGTCAGGAGAAGGAGGAGTTTGGCTGGAGTATTTGGATAGTCGGCCGGTTTCGAGATGTAGACGTCAACGTCACCTATCTTGGACATCTCGCCAGACGGTTGGCGATTGTCTGGTGTCGGACGGTCTGTTACGCAGTGTTCTCCCATGCTGGGACCAGTCTGAGCCGTTGAATCTGTAGATGAGACAGCAGAGGGTTCGACTTGGGCTTCCATAGCATCGGACTCGGGAGCCCTGGTTGCGAGTTCAGAATCGGCCATAAGTTGCACACAGACGTGTCAGGTAAGTTCTCCTTTCCCTGGGCCCTTACTCTCGTCTACTTGGATAGTTGTGGTATGTGACTTAATCAGTTTGGGACTAAAAACTTTGGCAAAAGATGCTGATTGTCCGGCTCCTTGAATGTTGGATATACTTGGTAGGGTCTGACCCTTGAGGTCAGCCTAAAGAAATGACAAGGTCTGACAGGAAACTGCTCTGAGAATCGTGGCAGACGTCACAGAGTAGGTCCTGCTTGAAGAAGGACGTACAGCATTTCACTGTCGTAGATGTCCGTATGTTCTTATGCCTAATGACAATGCACACGAGTACCGGAAATGGTCTATCTACAATAGGGTTGCCCTCTGGATACTTGGGCTGAGAACCGTACGCGGAGGACAGCCAGAATTGGTGGAGTGAGACCTTGACAAAAACATGGCGTCAGACAATGGTAGTTTTTGCCTGGCAAGTTTAGTCAGCGCCTCTCCTTGCAAGGCTGTTGTACCGGTGGCGGGCACCAGGCGGGGAGAACCACTTAACGCGTTAGAACGCGTCGAAGAAGTGGGAGCTCGCAGGCATCATTATGTGTCGCTAAACATTTCAACTCACCAACCTTTGCCTCGATCTATCATTACTCGTCTTTACCTCGTTTCAATCATCTTTCAGTGCCAGCCATGAATTCCCCTGCTGCTGCGCTCGCGCGCATCGATGCAGGTTCGCTCGCCGACATTTTTGAGGATCGTCCTGGACGGGTCGAACACCCCGTCATGCGTAAGTCACCATGTCGTGATCAGAGGGTTCCATACACTCCGAGATCGTGGTACCTTCGATGAAGACTGACAGGAAACAGAATGTGTTCAAATCAAGCCTATTGCCACGCAACAAGGTGGTCAGGAGCGCCACCGAGTCATTTTCAGCGACACGAAAAACTACATTCAGACGATGCTGGCCGTGCACCAGAATCAGCTGGTAGAGGAAAAGATTCTCCGCAGAGGAGTTCTCGTGCAACTGATGGGATATTCTGCGAACAAGGTCAAGGCTAAACGGTAAGACAGGCTCTTTCGCTGACTTACAATGACACTAACGCTCTGTCCAGCATTCTCATCGTGACCGATATCAAAGTCCTCGAAGAGTATGGGGAGCACGAGAAACTCGGCGACCCGAAACCACTGGAGCTGAAGGCTGAAGATGAAGAGAAGGCATACCCTACGTCGATTACGAGCAATGGATTCTATGGAAACAAACAAGAGCAGCCGAAACAGAACCGACCCATGGGTCATGCGAAGCCATCGTCATCCGCTCATGCGAACATCTACCCCATCGAAGCAATTTCACCATACTCCAATAAGTGGACCATCAAGGCGCGTTGCACGAGCAAGTCGGACATCAAGACATGGCATAATCGTAATGGCGAGGGCAAGCTTTTCAGCGTCAACCTGCTGGACGAAAGTGGCGAAATCCGGGCCACGGGTTTCAATGACCAATGCGATCAGCTGTACGATCTGTTTCAAGAGGGCAGCGTCTACTACATTTCGAGTCCTTGCAGGGTCTCATTGGCGAAGAAACAATTTTCAAACTTGGCAAATGACTATGAGCTTCACTTTGAGAAAGACACCACTGTCGAGAAAGCCGAGGATCAAGATGACGTTCCCCAAGTTCGATACAACTTCACCAGCATCGCAGACTTGCAATCTGTGGAGAAAGACACAACCATTGACATCATTGGGGTGCTCAAGGAGGTCGGTGAGACTTCACAAATCACGTCAAAAACCACAAGCAAGCCCTATGATAAGAGAGAGCTCACTCTGGTCGATAACACTGGATACTCGGTGCGTCTAACCATCTGGGGGAAAACGGCGGCCTCGTTTGACATTCCACCTGAATCAGTGGTCGCTTTCAAAGGTGTCAAAGTCTCAGATTTTGGCGGACGCAGCTTGAGTCTGCTAAGTTCTGGGTCGGTTAGCGCCAATCCCGACATGCCTGAAGCACACAAATTGAAAGGGTGGTATGAGGACCAAGGTCGGAGTGGCAATTTTGCGACTCATGCAAACATCCAAGGCACAGCGGCATCTGGAACCGGTTCTCGAGGTGATCCGTTTAAGACCATTTCGCAAGTCAAAGACGAGCAATTGGGAATGTCTGACAATGCCGACTTCTTCTCCGTCAAGGCTTCAATACAATACATCAAGCAGGACAACTTTTGTTACCCGGCATGTTTGTCGGAGGGGTGCAACAAGAAAGTTTTCGAGATCGACCCCGGTCAGTGGCGCTGCGAACGATGTGACAAGAACCATCCAAAACCTGAATACCGCTATATCATGTCGGTCAACATTAGCGATCACACTGGCCAAATCTGGGTCAGCTGTTTCGACGAAACGGGCCGACTGGTCATTGGTATGACCGCGGATGAGCTGATGGAGATCAAGGAGGTGGACGAGAAGAGGCTAGCCGAGATATTCTCCGAGGCCAACTGCAAGACATGGAATTGGAAATGCAAGGCTAAACTTGACACTTTCCAGGAACAACAACGGTAAAAACGACCGACCCATGATGTTGTTGACACGGAGACTAACGCGAGTACTAGGGTTCGATATCAAGTCACATCGGCCGCGCCTTTGAACTATGTGACAGAATCACAGAAGCTGATTGAATTGATCAAGCAATACAACATTGACTAGAGGAGGAGTAGCAGAAGTTGTGGTTATCGTGGATTGGGGTGTTGGGAAAACAACTGAGGTGATGATGGCACTATACCTGAATGATAAGCCTTTTGCCTACCGAAAGACTACACTGGGGACAGAAAGCAAGCCACTGAGTGCCACCCAGAGTGCTAGGGTCAAGTGTGCTTTGTCATTTGGGATGCACCTGGGTGCCTGTATTGATAGCTGCGAGTTATGCATGTGGAAATGATGGATGAATCTCGGTGGCTGAAGGCCATGAAGCCCCCAGTGGCACAGAGTAATGCTGGATCCGGTGGAAATTCACTACTTTCGCTGATTACTTTTACTACTTTTACTACTAATCTGGAAACCTCCGAAATGTTTCGTTAGTAATGGCGTCACGTCATCCGCAGAGTTCCTCGCACCTCGTCTGCACCTCGTATCGTGTACGAGGGCCTCATCGTGCGCATCCTTGCGCTGCTATGATGATGCCCCTCTCTATACCTTTCCTGGCGGCATTTAAACACAACCTAATCGGGAAGCAGCCTTGAGGTAATCATATCTCCGTAGCCTGGTGTCACCTTTGTCTTTGCTTCGCCAATCCCTCGAATCTATCATCCGCCTGCCGTCGATCCCGAGGCTGCGATCTTCGTCCTCTTCTTCTCCTCCTCTCTCTCGCCCGTATCGACATTGAATGAACTCGACGGCGACTGTCTGCTCAAGGGTTGCATTAGAAATCCCGCATCTCCAACGGCTAGTGACCGGCTATTACCCGTTCTCAATAGCAATTCTTCAGGGCCAGCGCATTTGTCCGTCTTTACATATACTGCAGACATCGACGTCTCTCGGGGCAAGAAGATCCTTTTCAGCATCAGCATCAGCATCAACATCAATATCACCCTTGAGCAGTACCACCAGAAGTAAGAACAAGTTTGCTATCAGGACTCTTCACAGTCGCGTCCAGCCGTCAGCTAGAAGCACACCCGCAAGAGCCATGGCAACCATGCGCGCAGTCGACATCAAGGGCGGAAAGGGTCCCATTTCCGCCCTCTTCATCAACCCCGACACTCCCAAACCGGTGGCCAAGGGCAGCCAGGCTCTCGTCAAAATCAAGGCTTTTGGCCTGAACCGCATGGATCTCCTCCAGCGAGAAGGCGGATACCCGTTACCACCGCAGGCGGGCCCGATCATGGGCGTCGAATTTTCCGGTACCATCGAGGCCTTTGGCTCCGAACCCGAACGGGGCTTCAACATCGGCGACGAGGTCTTTGGCCTCGCCTACGGTGGCGCCTACGCCGAGTACATCGCCGTCAGCACGCACATGCTGGTACACAAGCCCAAGGAACTCAGCTGGGAGGAGGCGGCTGGCATCCCCGAGACGTGGATCACGGCGACGCAGGCGCTCTACCTGGTGGGCGAGTTCAAGCCGGGCATGTCGGTGCTGTGGCACGCGGGGGCGTCGAGCGTGTCGATCGCGGGCATCCAGCTGTCCAAGGCCGACAACGCCTCGGCCGTGTACGTGACGGCGAGCTCACGCGAGAAGATTGAGTTTTGCAAGTCGCTGGGCGCGACCGAGGGTTTTTCGTACAAGGAGGGCGACTGGGCGCAGGCCTTGCTCAAGCAAACCGACGGCAAGGGCGTCGACCTGATTGTCGACTTCATCGGCGCCGGCTACTTTGACCAGAACCTCGACGCGGCGGCCCGCGACGGCCACATCGTCAACCTGGGCAACTTGGGCGGCAACGTCGTCGAGAAGCCCGTCGACGTGTCGCGCTTCCTGCGCAAGCGCCTCCGCTACGAGGGGTCCAGCCTCCGCAGCCGTGACGAGGCCTACCAGGGCCGCCTGCGCGACATGCTCGTCGAGCACGCCCTGCCCCGCTTCATCGATGGCCGCTTCAAGGTCATTGTCGAAAAGGTCTTCAAGATGTCCGAAATCCAGGAGGGCCACAAGATGCTTCAGAGCAACCAGACCATGGGCAAGTTGATCTGCACCGTCGACTGATTGCATTGACATCCGCCTCGAGAATTTGAGATCCAAAGATCAAAACATAACATACGCACGAGGTATTTTGGGGGAATCAAGCTGCGAAGGAGGGAAGAGGGAGGAGGGAGGAGGTATTCGCACAGGACTGACTGTACGAGAGAGACAAGTGCTCGACAGACAAGGGTGATTAAAAGCCCATGAATGAAGGGGACCGTCTTGAGAGAGAAACCCACAAAATTATGATTGTCAACATTGAGCCTTCATTCTTCTACAGCCAGCAGCTCGTATGAAAGAAGTAGTTTTTTTTCTCTCTCTCTCATCATTTCCTCAACAGCCTCAAAAAACGGCATCTCTGATGAATATATGATTGATTATAGCACAGCATCCATTGTTCTCAAGCCCTGTCCTTGGTCGATCCGCTTGGCCCCAATGGCTCGGAAGGGTAATTTTTCTGGGGCACCAATAAGAGCACAGCAGATGGTGCTGTCTCGCATAAATGCGACCATGGCTTTTGCTTATGAAGACACGCCCGACCGTGTTTCTGAGGTCCATGAATCCGTGGTGAACGAATAGAGTTTCATAGAAGAATCACCAGTCCATCGATGAGAGCCAGTGCTCTTGAACTGGACTGGGCTGGGCTGGGCTGTCGGGAGCTTTGTGCAGTCCGCTGATCCGCAATCCGTGGTACTTGGTCACCCATCTTTATAAGAGCCTAGAGCCTGAAGCCTCGAGAGGCTTGTGCTTGGTGGCGGATGAGTATCCTCGGCCAGTAGACTGTTTGTGGTATGGACACGCGACGAACTCGAGGGAATATTGGATCTGATGAGAGGGCATTTGGTCAGGCTCGAAGAGTATATAAGTCGAATAGTAGACCTGAAGAGCTTGATCGATTCCTCCCACAAGAGCATACCGCAGGACTTCAAAAACCAATTGACACGTCGATTCAAACGTTTGTCGCAGCGGATCCAGCATCGACCATGCCCTCGATTTTGATTTTTGGTGTAACAGGCCTTGTTGGTTGTAAGTTGCCTCCACAATTGTCTCATAACTTGGCTGGTTGACTGACATTATCTCCAAGCACATCTCGTTTTGGCTCTGAAGAGAGAATATTCCCAACTCCCAGTCACGGTCTTCTTGCGGAATAATACCCTCGACAAGTACTTGTACGAAACAGCAGGCATTAAACGCATCGTGCATGGCACTTTCGATGAGAAGAACAAGATCACCGCGTTAGCGCGAGAACACGACATCGTCATCAACGTGGGTTCGTCATGGGATGTGCCTTTGAGCGAGGCGGTTGTGGCAGGCTTAAATCAGCAGCCGCAAGATAAGAAGAAGACACTCATTCACATGAGTGGGACTGGTAATTTTGTGGATAAGAGATGGACGGATGGGGCGTTTCACGCCGAAACGAAGATCTGGGACGTGAGCGAAATGGCACCTTTGAACTACGCGGAATGAACTTACTGACATGCAGCAGGATTGCAGTCCAGAAGACATGAAGCTTATCAACCCTTCCATGCTCAATGGTGGGCCTGACACCGTGTATGATCTTCTTTGGGCATCATAGTATCTGTCATAATTGACTGACAACTCATCATGCAGAGTCTTAACTGCGGGCAAAACAAGCAATATCGGGACCTACATTGTCTTCCCTTCTGGAATATATGGCGAAGCTGCTGGCCCAATTCCGGCTTTGGGAGTGATCCAACTAATCTACCGCGAGAAGGCCAAAGAGCTGGGATTTGTGCCATACGTAGGAGACGGAAGTGCCCTCTTCAATTGCCTCCACGTCAATGCCATAGCCCCCTTCATGCTGAAGGTCTTGGACCTGGCATTGCACGAGGAGGATCCTCAAGGATCTGTCTATGAGCGATGTTTCCTGATTGGGGGACCGGAAGTTTCCTGGAAGAAAGCATCAGACGCCTTTGCGAAAACATTGTACGCGGAAGGGATCGTGCGGGAGCCTCGAGCCAGAAGTGTAGCTTTGGAGGAAGCAGGCGGGGGCGAATTGCCGATGCTGATGGCGAGCAATATGAGGTTCGTGTCGCGACGCGCAGAGAAGTTGGGTTACAAACATAACGAAGTCGGGTTGGTGGAATTCTTGAACGAGTCGAGGTAGCGTGGCATGAGTCGTGGGACAATAATAGAGAGACACGTGAGGCTGCTGTGGAAACGGAGCTATGCCTGATTCGGAGTTAATCAACAATTGCGTCATTATCACTGGACAAAATATATGGCGCAGCCTCGCCTGGCGGCTGCCCAGCCTTGCTCCCCAGCCTCTTCAGTGTTTCCTGCCACCACATATTCACAGCCATACAACAGTATTTCGCTCACAAAAGTCTCTTCGCAGAGGTGAGTTTCTCATCTGCCCATCTGGACATTCCATATCTGACCCTCTGCAAAATTACCACACCGTCAAATTGTCTACAAGACACTACATCGAAACACCGTCTCTTATCGTCCCCTTACGCACCGAACATCTGTGATATACGACAGAAGAACAGCTGCACTGACGAAGCGTTTCCCTCGAGAGCGTTGCTGCTCTCTTCCCTACCATCATGGCTCCGGTCAATTCCCATGTTGACATACCCGACCTCAAATTCTCTTCCCTTGAACTCGATGCACGCTCCACGGACCTGAACGAAATGCCGACGACAACCTCATTTTCTAAACGGAATCTGGTCTACAATCCCCTCATCCCCCGAAGCGATGACTCTCCTCCCATGCTATCTCCGATAGATAGCTATAATGTCCTCACCGCAAGAGATGCCCAACATACAAAAGACCCAAACCCTGGTGCCGGGTCAGTTGATCCTAATGATATCAACATGAAAGGTATCCAGGCGCTATTCGCCATTATCGGAGCTTCTTTCGTCATCCTTGCCATCTGGTTCTTCTTTTGGGCCAAGAACGGCGGCTTTAAATGGCAAAAGGGTGACTGGGATGAATACAAGTCTACCGTCTTGAGACGAAAGGGCCCCAATGGAACGACTCTTAGTAACGCTACCAAGAGTACCAAGCTAGGTGGTGGTAGCGTTGTGGGAGATGGGTACTCGGACAAAGACACGGCTACGATCCCAGATACCATGACAGAGGCTATGACTGAGACGATGACAGAGCTGTCTTCTGAAGCACCTATCATCAAGGAGAAGCAGTCAAGGAAGCAAAAGGAGACGGCAAAAGAGAGAAAGTTACGAGAGGCCAAGGAAGCCCGCTGGGAAGGTGGCCAGGACTACGATGTCCGCGCATATCGACACGAAAAGGCTGCCCGTGTGGGGGGTCTCAACAGAGACTCGGATGCCCTGTTCTACGGCACGGACTACACCGAGACCTCACGTGGCGGCAGTGACATTGGCAGCAACAGCACCCGGCAAGCACCGTCTTCTCGCCAGCACAGTCCTGAGAAACGTCAATCACGTCGTGACTTTTCGTACGGCCAAGAAGGCAGCTTCAGTGTCGCGACTCCACCACCGGCTGCTGCGCCAATGTCTGGTCCTCGTCCACCAAGATACCACTCGCCGAGCAAAAATCACAGCCCCCAACGTCCAATCCGCACCGTGCCTGGTTCATTCCACGCAAACCAAGACTTTGACAACCAGAGCGTCCAGAACCAGAATACCAAGGCCTATCATCATCCACTTCCCAGCCTCAGCGGTCAAGGACCTCCAAGGTCTGGTGGCTGGAGAAGAGATAGACGAGACAGCCTGGATGACTGAATGAGTGGTGGTATCGATGAGCGTGTTCTTCTCAGGACTCGAAGTTGCCCATGTTAGACAAGGCCTCTCATCGGTCGCGTCGATGACAGACAACTACAAATCTGGAGGAAGCGCGGAACAAGACGCACGAAGTGACGAGATTGTACTGTAACTCCGACATTGTTGATACTGGGAAAGGGACAGATTGACCTGGTACGGCGTTTTTGACTTCAACACGGGAATAGGGATTTCGGAAATAGCATGGATCGAAAAGCGACATGGATGACGAACGAAAGGGAATGAAAGTCTCGACATGGACAAAGGACAAAATTGCATATGTGAACAGAGGAATGGAATGGGAGAATTGTTACAAGCGAGCGAAATATCCCATGAGCATGGTGCACTTGCACCTTGATATCGTGCTAGCCAACTAGAAAAGTAATACATACGAGGTTCCAGTACGGACTACAATGAGTAGAATGAGTACTAGAGTACGAATTTCGGAGAGACTTGATTATGAACATGCTCTCCCATTGTTCGAGGTGTAAGAAAGGCCTGTGACAGGCTGAGTTCCTCCCGCGTTGCTCGTTTCCTAGATAGATAGATTGATAGATTAGAACTGAGCGAGTGAGGTATTCCTAGGTATCTCTCTATTCATTGCCGTTGTACCTCTACCTCTGTACCTCAGTTTGTACCTGTGAACCTGTGTGTCTCTATCTATGAGTAGGGATGTTGGATCATAAGGACCGAGGGACATAGACATGCAGTTAAACAGGTAAGTAGTGGAAGGGAGGGAGGGAGGTAGGTAGGTAGGCATAAGGTGACCTTTGAAGCTACCTACTATCTAAGGGGTTTTGGGTTTTGGGTTTCTTATTACCATGGATGATGATGGTATGGGCCCAGCCAGCCAACCCGGCCCAACTCAGATGGCAATACCAGACCAGATCCATGCGAGGTATCCTGAACCAAAGAAATCTTGCCTCGTGATGTGATGTGTTGTGATGGATAACAATGCCCTTTGCAAAAACTCCTGTGCGAATTCTCGTAAACAATACCCAATTGTCGTTATGCCGTGCCGTGCCGTGCCATATCATGTCATGTCATGTAAGGTCAGTCAGTCCCTGAGCTCCGAATCCTCAGCCTTGAGCCTCGAGCCTCGAGTTTTCGGGCCTCGAGTCGAACAAGGAAAAGGAGTCTGGGATTGTGTGAACAAGAATGCCCGGGAACAGAGTGAGTGAGCGAGCAAGCGTCAGACAAAATCCCGGTGGTAATGTCATTAATGATGATGATGACCATGCTCTCCACCCCCAAAATCCAGCT